TATTAATTAAACTATCTTTTTGTCTTCCCTCTGTTTAACAAATAAGAGCCCTTTACCCGTATCTGGAGGTTTGTTAATCAGCATTGCATGCATAGCCATAATATTGGGTCCAGTGAAGCACTCCACATACTTCAGAATCTGAGAAAAGGAGAAGGAAAAACAAACTCATTGGAAATCAGAAATGCAGACATGAGGCATAAAGTGTCCACACAAGAAACAAAATGGCAACAATTAAAACATTAATTGGTATTTCACAACACTGTTGACAAAAGATGGAAATCTTGGAGTTAGAAATCATTCCAGATCTCCAATACACAGCATTCAATGGGAACTGTTTGAACAAGCTTGAAGTGTAACCTTTCTCTTTTGCCCTACAAAAAAGATAAGGGTTTCTAGGAGTTATCAACTAGGAAGCCCAGGATCAGCTCTTCTGCTAACCAAAGCTACAGAGGGTGGCCCAAACAGAAGGCAGTGTCTGCCTCCTCCTGGGAGACTCTGCATTAGAAGGGTCCATCATGACTTGGGGCTGTCAGAGGACCACTTTCATAATATGTAGCCACTCCCTCATCAATTCTTCCCTAAGGTTCATGAACCAGGCAGAGTATTAGCCAGTAGGGGGCTCAAAAGTGAACAAGAAAAGGAGGTCTCTGTCCCCATGGAGTTTGAGTCTAAGGAGAAAGAAAAATAGAAAATCTGAGTCAAGGGTGGTAGTACTTCATCCACCACAAGTTGCCTCTGGCTTCAAGTTCTGTGAGCACTTGCAGACTTCATTCCCATCACAGCAGTGGAGGTTGAAGCATTGATGGTGGGGGATCATTTCCCCTGGGCCTTCTCTCCATGGGCTGAATAGGACATTACAGGTGATTTACCTGTGCAGTCTGAAAGAATGATCAAGGCTTTCCTTCAGAGAAAATGCCTGTTTATTGAGGAACAGCTCTACATTTTTATAGAGCTGGGGGTAGTTTGACAGTTATGACAGTTTAATGGTTAAAGGGTTTGACAGTTGGCATGGGTGCTTTTTGATTGGTGGGTAAGGATCATGTGAGCCTGTAGGGCTAATATGATTGGTGGATAATGATCATGTGAGCAGCAGAGCTCACCAATAGATGGCAGGATCATATGAGCCAACAGGGCTCACCATTGGATGTCAGGATCATGTGCGCCAGCAGGGCTCACCATTGGACAGCAGGATTTGGGGGATGGGGAAGTTAGTCTTTGGAGCCCATTCAACTCCCAACAAAGTCTGTCTTCAGGAATCAAACACTCTGACGGCATTTGGTGATTGTTTTTAATAAGTGCTATATAGAATGTCTCTTTCTAATAATTTTAAACATATGGTTAGGAAACAATGGTGCTCAAAGGTGGGAGTGTATAAAGAAACTTGAGGATGCAGGAGCTAATTCCTGAGAATGTACAAAGACTTCACAGCAAATGAGGCTGGGTAGAGAGACTTCTTCTCATGTTGTACTCTCCTGATCTACCTGAAATATGAATTACTTAAATTCTCTTGAAATATGAATTACTCTTTTTTGTTTATTTACTTATTCTAATTAGGTATATATGACAGCAGAATGCATTTTGATTCATCATACACAAATAGAGAACAACTTTTCATTTCTCTTGTTGTACCCGATGTAGAGTTTTACCATATGTATGGTTATACATGTATCTAGGGTAATGATGTCCCTCTTATTCCACCAACTTTCCTGCCCCCATACTCCCTCCCATTTGCCCAAAGTTCCTATGTTCTTCCCAGGCCTCTCCCCCTCCATTATGGATCAGCATCCACTTATCAGAGAGAGCATATGGCCTTTGATTTTGGGATTGGCTTACTTTGCTTAGCATGATATTCTCCAACTCCATCCATGAAATATGAATTATCTCAAAGAAATATAATTTTTTAAAATGAATTTAAGCCAGCCATAGTGATGTATGCCTGTTATCCCTGCTGCTCAGGAAGCTAAGGCAAGAACATCATAAGTTCAAATTCAGCCTCAAACACAGCATGACTGATATCTCAATTACAAACAATAAAAAGACAGAGGGTGTAGTTCAGTAATAAAGTGTCCTATAGTTTAATCCTTAGCATTATATATAAA